CACGACGAATCTCATCACGAACAAAGTGACAATCAACCTCGATGTGCTTGGTGCGTTCATGAAACACAGGGTTGTGAGCAAGATGAAGAGCGGACTGGCTATCACAATAAATCCGCATAGGAGATGAGTGAGGAACGCCAAGAGAAGCTAACAAACCCTTGAGCCATTTCAATTCACAAGTCGTAGAGGCCAAAGATCGATACTCTGCCTCAGCCGAAGATCGAGAGACGGTATGCTGTTTTTTCGTTTGCCAGGAAATTGGAGAATCCCCAAGAAAGACAAAATATGCCGTCAAAGAACGTCGAGTCAAGGGGCAACTCGCCCAATCCGAATCACAATAAGCCGTAAGATGAAGAGAGGAATCAGAGCGTAGCAAAAGACCTTGCCCAGGATGAAGTTTTAAGAAACGAACAACTTGAAGAGCCGCCTCCCAATGACTATGCCGTGGCTCCTGCAGAAATTATGCCAAGATATGTACACTGTAAGACAATTCAGGGCGAGTAATCGTCAGGTAGATAAGACGACCAACAAGACGCCGATAAGGCATAGAGTCAGGAAAGGGCTCGTCCTTAGCTAAAGCAAGGTGATGATTTTGCTCCATTGGTGTGCCGGCAGGTTTAGCACCTAACAAACCGGTCTCAGAAATAATATCGAGAGCATACTTTCTCTGACAAAGAAAAATTCCAGTCGAATTTCGCGCTACTTCAAGACCAAGGAAGTACTTCAATTTACCAAGGTCTTTCATGTGGAAACAATCATTCAAATAAGTTTTAAACGCATGAATGGCATCACTATCATTCCCACCTATCACCAGATCATCCACATAGACCAAAATGGTCAACTGAACTTTGTCACGCCGAAACGTGAACAAAGAATAGTCTGAGCCAGATTGCTGAAATCCATATTGAACCAGAGCCGCAGCCAGCTTGGCAAACCAACACCGCGGTGCCTGTCGCAGCCCGTAGAGAGACTTGCACAGACGACACACTTTATCCGCTCCGGGTGCCGTAAAACCTGGTGGAAAAAGCATATAAACTTCCTCCTCAAGGTCGCCATGCAAAAATGCATTGTGCATATCCATCTGATGCAATCCCCACCCACGGATCGCTGCTACTGCCAAGAAGGTACGAACCGTGACTATCTTCGCAGTGGGTGCGAACGTCTCAGTATAATCAAGACCCTCGATCTGATGATTCCCAAAAACAACCAACCGTGCCTTGTATCACTCGATTGTTCCATCTGCATGATACTTGATATTGTAGACCCATTTACTACCAAGAGCCTTCTTTCCCGTAGGCAAAGTAGAAACTGTCCAGGTCCCATTATTCTCTAGAGCCTCAACCTCCTTTCTCATTACCTCACGCCAACATGAATGCTGCATTGCCTCTTTAAAACTGGTTGGTTCAATCCCTGTAGTTACTGCAGCCGCGAATCGACGATGCGACAGAGAAAATTTAGCACAATTCACATAATTTGTGATGGGGTAGGGCGTACCTGAGGATGCCAAGGAAGAGGAAGGAGAGCTTGAGGAACGGAGGGTAGCTGTATGCAACACATAATCATGCAAACGAACTGAAGGTTGTCGCGCTCGTTTGCCGCGACCAAGATCCTCTGCTGTACCTGTAATCTCTGCAACTTCAGGTATTGGTACGGTCCCATCTGCTGTCACACCCTCTTCCACGGACTGTCCGTCATATTCAGAGACTGGGGGAGGTGCCTCAATCTCAGGCACGTCCTCCAATATAGTAGGCTCAATGACAGTAGGCAGAGGATCTGGAGGTGCCGATCTTGCGGAGTCCGTATGGACAAAAGGAAACACGTGCTCAACAAACTCAACATCTCGACTTTCAAAGCAAACCTTCCTATCTAGATCATACACCCTCCATCCCTTTTTACCATATGGATAACCCATGAATATGCACTTATGACTTCGACTTGCAAACTTATCCTTTTCCCGATTAATGTTCTTAGCATAGCATAGGCATCCAAATACTCTAAGATGAGAAATAGATGGAGGACTTCCAAACAAAATTTCATATGGAGTTTTTCCACCCAAAACCAACGATGGAGTACGATTGATTAAATATCCTGCAGTGAGAATGCATTCTCCCCAAAATTGAATAGGTAAGTTAGCCTGAAAATGAAGCGCCCTACCAACATTCAAAATGTGTCGATGTTTCCTCTCAACTCTTCCATTTTGTTGGGGTGTCCCAACCATGGAAGTCTGATGAATAATGCCACACTCCTTAAAATAATCATCTAAACAAGTAAACTCTGTACCATTGTCACTGCGTATAATTTTGACTTGTTTATTAAATTGTCTCTCGGTCATAGCCAAAAAATTCTTAACAACATATGGGACCTCATGTTTCCCTTTTAACAAATAAACCCATACACCACGAGAACAATCATCAACAATAGTCAAAAAATAGGTAGCACCACAAAAACTAGCCTCTCGATAAGCTCCCCACAAATCACAATGAATTAATTCAAAGATATCACTAGCTTTACGGTCACTAATAGGAAAAGGAATACGAGTTTGTTTTGCCCGGAAACAAACGTCACAAGGTTCATGAACACCTTTATTTATCTCTATACTACCATCTATTGTAGGGAGCTTTTCTATGACTCGCACAGAGGGATGTCCCAACCTTTTATGCCACAAATCCATATTCTTGACTGTAGCGGCTCCATGAGCATTGACCAAAGGCTCCCCTCGTGCGACATACAGCCCCTCAAGTTCTTCACCCAATCCAATCAGCATCCTCGAAGTGCGGTCCTGGACAACACATAAACGATCAGTGAATTTCAATATATAAACTTTGTCACGGGCTAATTTTGAAACAAATATCAAATTGCATCGCATTTCAGGAACATATAAAACACCCTTGAGAAATAATTTTCCTACAAGAACTGTTCCTTCTCCTATTGCCATAACGTATTCACCATTTGGCATTTTCACGGGACAAGGAGGTATTCCTTGAAGCTCTACAAATGCAGTTTCCTCTCCCGTCATATGATGCGAAGCACCTGTGTCGAACAACCATTGTAAATATGTCTTACCATTAAGCCGTGACTGAGCAACTGATGTATTATTCGTGTGAGTGTTCCAGAGAGACTTCAAAGTCTCCCAATCAGCTTTGCTCAAGTTCTCCAATCCAGCTTTATCAGAATCATCAAGTGGTCTCCCATGGAAAACATTAGCAGCCGCCTGTACTACCCCTTGTGCAACATGAGCCCGTGCTACTCCACCACGACCACGCCCCTGGTTACCATGTCCTTTACCTTTTCCTTGAGTCGAATTTCATGGCCACCAGTCGGGATAGCCATGAAGACGAAAACATGTGTCCATGCTATGTCCCGGTTTTTGGCAGTGAGAGCAAACTATTCCATCGTCTTTTCGGTCCCCCCCTGAATTCCGAGGGCCTAGGCTGACTGTTTTCATGGTAAAGCTCACCGGATCAGACCGATTGGGAGCTGCTCGCGTCATTACCTGCACTTGTTCTTGCTCTGTAACTTGAGAATAAACCCTATGAAGGTTTGGAAGAGGGTCTGAAGCGATGATGTTGGAACGAACATTACTATAAGATGATTCATCAAGCCCCATGAGGAATTGATGCACCCGCTCTTCCTCTTGACGCTGTTGAAGCCGTGTAGCGAAATTACACTTGCATCCATTACAAGAACAAGTAGGCATAGGATCGTAATCATTCAAATCATCCCACAGTTTCTTGAGTCGACCATAATAAGCCATGATCGAATCCCCGTTTTGTTTGCAATTTGCAACCTCCGTTTTCAATTGATGAACTCGCGCGCCATTACGAACAGAGAATCGCTGCTGGATATCATCCCATAATTCCTTTGCCGTTTCCTTGTATGAAATCGTGGAACGCAAGCCTGGTTCGATAGTGTTAAAAATCCATGACACAATCATGGAGTTCACTGTCCACCAATCATCAATTTCATCAGAGTTCTGGTTCGGCTCCTTAATGGTGCCATCAATGAAACCTTGTTTCTTCTTTGCCCTCAACGAAATCCTCATGGCCTTAGCCCATTCTTCATAGTTTGGTCCTTTGAATTGCGTCTGCGTAATTAAATTGCCTGGGTTGTCATTCGCGCTCAATAAGAACGGCGAATTGGTCTTCAAACTTGAAACTTTTTGATCTGTCATCGTCCTAGGATTTATAGTCTAGGGGTTCGGTATTGTTTTCAGAGCCAGAATGCTCTGATACCATGAAAAACCAGAAGAATTGGGAAAAGTTTTCATAGTTTTCTCATTGCCATCTGCTCTATATATACAAGTACAATGTGCACCTCAGACTCCCGTGACTTCAGCCCCAATTTACCTAATTATGTGCAATTACCAATACTACCAAATATAGATAGATACTATAAACACAAGATACCCAAAACTGCAGCCGAGACTACAGCCCAGCCACCAAGTATATACACTAATATTGGACATTTTTTATTGATCCTGAGGCTTTTGGAAAAATCAACTTTGATTAGAAGTAAACTAATAATACTACTGCTACCACCATTATATTCATCTCTTAATTTTCTATCTCTTGCTTTTAGCTTGATTCGCAATATTAACTAGTAGTACTTCTTAATTATCCTATCATTTTTTAGGGATGAAATAGCACAGATAGCTCATTTAATATATTATGTATTGCATTTTCTGCAAATTAATTTCTGGTATGTTGGAGAACTCTACTTCTCCTTTCTAATTTCTTAGACTGACTTGCACCAGGAAAATAATTCTGTTCACTGTTTAAAAGTAACTCATTATATTGTATGACATATGAAAGTAGGCTACGTGTTTGATTTCCTCTTCTGATTTCAATACGGCAACATCAGAAACTTACATGAGCAGAAACCGCCGAGTTTTGCATTATCAAATTTTCAGTTATATGCATCTTCATCAGTCAAAGTTTTATGTATTTTTACGCTTCTCCACTAAGTTTTGTCTGTGACCTGTGTAGCACTTGGAACTCTGTGCAGAAAGTGCAGAAAGCATTATTGCAGTCGGATGTCCATGCAAAATCTGATAAAAGTCCTGTAACAGTAGCTGTGTAGCACTTGGTGTATGATAAAATTAGTGACGAGGTATGTTATAAACGGTAATGACTTTTACAAATAATCCCACGATTGAATTTATTACAGGGTAGTGGAGAGAGGTTTTCTCCAATTAAATGAAGCAGAGCCTGGTCTACTTGAACAAGAACTTAAACTAACTGCTTGTAGAGTAACATCTGTAAGTAAGCCTTGGATATAACTGCAATTTCCCATGATTAAGCCTATTAATTCTACTTCCTTATTTTGTTAACTTTTCACACCAGGTGCAGTGTCTTGTTCTTTAAAGGAGGTGAGATTATTGTATACTTGTTGTAGCAAATTAGTGACCCCGTCAAATTTCTTGGAAGGCACTGAATATTAGATGAGAATGATATTAAGAAGCAAGAGGAAAAGCTAGTGGCAGGTGCTTCATTTCTTGTGAAAATGGTACATTTGCTCTACAGCTAAAGCAAAATGGTCGTTGTGTCCTTATTCAAGTATTATTTGTCAAAAGAAAATGGTCTTAATTTAGCATTGAGCTTATGCAGTTTTATTGTCACCCTTACCTGGCATGGAAACATTGTGAACTGATGGCCTGCGTAGGTCTGCAAGGAGGAGGAAAGTGGTGGTGCCTTGGTGTTTCAATGTTGAAGTTGATGGCTTGGTTCCTTTGTTTTGTGTTTTTGAAATCCACAATTGGTTGAATTCTTGTCTTACCTTTGAAGCTAGAAAGGACTATTACAATTCAAAAGGGCTACCTTTCTCTTTGGCTTGTTTTAGACTTTTAGCAAGAATACATTTTTCTATTTCTTTTAGCGAGAATACATTTATTAAACTTTTAGTGAGAATGCATTCTTCTAAAGAATCGTGAATTTGTGTTGCAATATTTTCTATTTATGTTGTCATGGTTGGTTGTGGTTTTGCCTGAATGTCTCAGCTGGTTGTTGCTCTTAGGGCTTATCAAGGTTTTGGCTGGTATTTTGCAAAAAAGGAAGTAATTTGCTTTTTTCATTATAGTAGTCATGGATTATATCAATATTTGGCTGTATCAATGTTTGCTTTTTTCAGATGCCAAGAGACTACTAATGACTAGGACTGGTGTTGCTACCAGAGGCCAAAAGTTTCGATTGCTAACAAACCATTTCAATGTTAAAGTAGCCAGAAATGAGGGCTACTTTTCCACTACAGTGTATATAACCTCTATATCTATGATGGTTGTTTAAGCAAGCAATTTAGCACAAGTATTCTATTCTTGATATGTAGGTGTCGATTTATATTATCATTGTTGCAATATTTTCTATTTATATTGTCATTGTTGGTTATAATTTTGCCTGAATGTCTTAGCTAGTTTCGGGGTTTTGGCTGATATTTTGCCAAAAAAGGAAGTAATTTGCATTTTTCATTAAAGCTTGAGTAACAATTAGCTAAATGCAAGAAAAGTAAATTATTAAAGGTACAAATTGGTTTTTTCCTTTAAATTTTTTAGTAAAAATTAGCTAAATGTAAGAAAAAAGAAAGTATTATATAAAAAAAAAAAGAAAAAAACAAAAATTTTATGTAAGCAAATGTTTCATGAAAACAATTCTAATTCCTAATGAATTCTTCTCTCATCCAAACAAAGAATTTGGAATTCCAAACAAATTTCGTATCAATTCTATGCATTTTCCAAATGAAAGAATTGCAAGGATTTGGATTTCCAATTCATAGAATTCAAATTCTATAGAATTTCAATTCTAATTCAATTCCAATTCTGTAGAATCAAATGTACCCTAAAACTAATTAATAAAACACACTTAAAACACTCAAAATAAACACTTATCAGGTGGGTTTTACCTATCATAATGAGATAATGGTATATAACTTGGAACTATTAACATCTAAATATACTTAAGATTACATTAAATTGTTAATTTTCTCTCTTTTCTTATTAATTGCTAGAAAAAAAATTTATAAAAAAAAATTATAACACACGAGAAACACAATACACGTGCACTGCACGCACTCCCATTACTAATACACAAAAGACAAAACATGGATCTTGCTAGTCTGATGTTTAACATGGAGCAGGGTCAGGGTCCATGTTTATTTGTATTCAAAAGCCCCCTTCCCCATCATTAAGAGAGAGCAAAAAAGACAAAAAGAGTACAAAACCTTCACCTCTTTACTTCCCATCCTTTCCAAAAGATAACTTCAAAAGAAGTTTGTCAATACGTGTTTCACTAGAACTGCATCACTCATAAAATTCTTAGAGCACAGGATTGCATCAATCAAACAAGAATTTACTTGAACTTGAAAGTAAATTACCATGTCAATCAGAATGTTCTTTACATCTATATGGTTCTTCAAATTCTCACTAGACATAAGCAATGCACATGCAACCTATTTGGTAATCAAAACAAAATGATTGTCATTCACATTGACAAATACTTTTGAATGTCAATTACTCTATTCCATTAGCTTCTAGGAAGGTAGAAAGAATAATAAGCAGTCTTCTACTGAACAATTGCATCAAAAACAAATATAAAAGAGCACGGATGTAATTAAAAAAACAAAAATGCATAACCATTTCTCATCTATGCCAAGATCATAAATTCAAAGTGGAAAACTCCTATTAAAAAGCTCTAATTCTGATTGTTGGATGAAAGAAGTCTTCCTTTGTGGAAAACCCACATTTTCAAATGGAATATAGAATATTCATGTTGTACTAGTACAACGATGGTTCCCCAAAAACCTAGAAATAGAAAGAATTGGCAGTAGGTTAATCGGTGGCTTTTTGCGGAAAGTTAACTGCAAGTAACAAGTGCAACTAGTTTATGGGATTTGAACGCGAAAGAGTTTGGCAGATTCATCTTGTCACAGTGACAAGGAATATTTACATAGATCCTTTTCTTCTTCAAGGGTAATAATCAAATCTATCATTTGTCCTGAAGTAGTTTGGAACTCCATGTTCAAGGGGGCTTTTGAATGGAGCAAGGTCCATGTTTTTTGCATAAGAGAACGTGTTTTGCACGTTGCCTAGTATCTTGCTTAGGGTTAAGTTTATAATTTAACAGTTATTAATTTGCAAGATTATTGTGCACATACAAATTTTCGGGAGATGCAAAAAGAGATAGTTGAATCATAAATTCCATTTAATTTATAACCAAGAAAAAGGCAAAAATAATGAACAATTAGTGTATAATTAGTTAATTTGGTTTGTCTTTTCTTAACTAATTATATTTTCTAAAGAAAACATGTGTGCAGGTATTGTGCATGAATTGCATATAGAAACACTTCAGAAGACCAAAAGAAAGTTATGACTACGTTATAGATGTTATGTATGTTTTAGATTGGATTTTGTCTCTCCTTGATTTCATCTTATTAAAAATGATGAAGAGTATTAGTAGAAATAATTTTGTAAGACCAAGATTTTATTGGCATTTAACAACCTGTAAAATAGGTGTTTGGTTGAAGAATTAGTATTCTCATGTTAGTCTACTTGTTTAATTGTTGTTTTAAATTTTAGTCTTTAATTTGTTTTAGGGAAGGGTTGGGTTGGGTGGTAAGGTGAGAGGGATTATAAGTAGGAGATCCTAGTTTCAAAACTTTCTAGTTACAAAAAAAAATGTCAAATGTAATTATATCTTTAATTAGATATTTGCTCGATAATCCTAACAAGCATCTTAAAATTGAACAATCAAAAGAACCGAACTTTATTTTTGTTAGAAGTCATACATTAAAGATTTAGATGTTAAGCTGTAGGTTATATCAACTTATAAGTTAGGGTATTAAAAGATAGTTTCTTCGTATATCACTATTTCTTGGAGATTAAAAGATATTTCTTCATAATACATTCTTTCTTGTAGCTTTTTTTTCTTTGTGGTTCTTTGTTGTTTAAAAAGTAGAGCTAGATATTTTACCCATATTTAAGCTAGACTTATCATCCTTACCAACTTCAATCTATTAAATGCTTATTTCATACTTTTATTTTTTTATTTTTATTTTTTCTCATTCGTTATTTATCTACTCTACTCCTACTCTAGCCTAATCTAGGGAGAGCCCAAATTGGTCATTTATTAAGGAATTGAGAGTTTCTTACTTTGATTTGAGTGGTCCTTTTTTTTTTTTTTTTTTTTTATCTCAATAGATTATCTTATTAAACGGAAAAACCAAAGTTACAAGCACCAATGCTCAAAAACTACCCCTCCCTCATAACAACTTGGCGGAGGGATGGCACTCCTAGCCTATCTAGAAATAAAACTCCTCGCACTAAATGGGGCAAATCTGAAGCTGCCAAATATATATCGTCACGGGCCTGCTAACAACCAATATTTGCCAATGTATCCGTGACCTGGTTCGCCTAACAGTAACAGTGAAGAATCCGAGGAAAATGAGATGCCACCCCCATCAATTGCTGCACCTCAGTGTGAATGCTCCATGGGCAACGTACTAATCGATTCAAGATGCGGACCAAAACCAACGAGTCCAGTTCAACGTCCAAGGTATCGATGCCCCTCTGGAGACACAATTTGACCCCAACCAATAGGGTGCGGGCCTCAGCCTGCATGCTTGAAGCCAAACCGAAACTACATGAAAATGCCAGCACCATCCTCCCCCCCATCACGCAGCACCCCCCTCCTCCACTTAAGCCAGGGTTACCCTTCGAACAACCGTCCGTGTTAAGCTCTAGACAATTTGAGTAGTCCTTTATTTCTTTTAAATATCTTTTTTTGAATTATTCTTTTGTCATGACTGTACTATTACTAAATAATTGCTTTTGGTTTACATTAATGGCAAGTGGCCATGTTTTGGATTATAAAAATAACATTTATATTTCACACTTATAATTTGATAAAAATATTTATTCAATGATGGACAAGTGCTTATGAATGGGTCTATTAATAGTCATTGTGAAATTGGATACTATATTAAAAGTACTAATATGATTTGGTAATTCAGTGATTTATTTTTCTCTTTCCAATAATATCCTTATTACATATTTTATTTACTTTGTTGTACTTTTTTTATGGATGCCCGTTCAATATCTTTTGAGGTTATTTATGTAATATCGACTTTGTCATTATGTTTTAGGAATAGAACTGTATTAAAGTGAATTTGTGAATTTGATTTGGAATGAAATTGCAGGCACATGACTTTTGGATAATTTAGCATTTTGTTTACACAATAGTAAAATAATTTATTAGTAGTAAAGGGAAATGTACAACTACAAAAATTAGTGATAGATAATATAAATGCTAAATGACTGGAGAAATTAGTGGGACATTTTTCTTATGGATGCCCATTCAATATCTATTGAGGTTATTTATGTAATACCAACATTGACCTTGTATTTTAGGAATAGAATTCTATTAGAATGAACTTCTGAATTTGATTTTGAATTGAATTTTACACAAATGACTTTTGGGAAATCTAACGTTTTGTTTGCTCAATAGTAAAATAATTTATTACTAATAAAAGGAAAGGTGCAACTACAAAAATTAGTGCTAGATAATATAAATGTTAAATGGCAAGAGAAATTAGTGGAACGTTTACATAAAGACAATTTAGCAAAGTATTTAGGGACATTTACAATTCACATGTTCAACCCTTTATTTTTCTCAATTGATTCCCTTAACATGTGCTAAATAATTTGGAAAATCTTTATAGATTTTTTTTTAAGTAAGTAAATTGACTCTTTTCCTACAACTTTTTTAAAAGAAGCAAGAAACCTTATGGTATAAATATTTACTTCATTTTTGGAGGACATTTTTTTTAACAAAATATTGGTTTATCTT